TGGCTTACATATAGTTAAAACGAAGGAACATCCACCACCACCACCCACCAAAAAAAATACTAATAATCCCACAGAAACATCAGTACAGGATAACCAGGACCAGCCACAGCATATTCCAGTCAAATCACCATTTTTGGATGGGCTCATCCAACACTCTGGCCCAATGCCCAGGGGAAAAAACAGTTTTTCAGGGCCTTGCAAAAGGTCAGCAGAATCGGGCCATTGGAATATTTAGCTATGAATCAGCTGTGCTTTCCCATGCTGAGATGGTTCCTCCTGGACTCACAGCACCTGCTTGAAGTGCAGGTGGCAGCTGCGCCAGGAAAGCTTTTCTCTTTCCTTTCTCTCTCATTCCCAAGCTCCACCATCCATTATTTCCTCCAAACCCAGTTTTTCAGACCACTGCCAGCATGGTCCAATTCCTACAGCAAACACCTTCTTGCTTCATGATCAGTACTTTTTCATCATACCCAGCTCGCTGCCTGACCTACTCTTAAGTGAGATTAAATTTATTTCACAGATCTTTTTCTCAGAAGACTTTCTTGTCTCAGTTGCTTGTCTCTATAGCTTCTTTCTTCAGGTTCTTTTTTCAGTCTCATCCTCCATTTAATTTCCTTGTTTCTAGACAGGACTCAATTTTTTTTAGCATCCCTACTTCACAAGGCTGTTTCCTAACTCATGAGGTTTTAATCCTAGCTAGATTGGCAACATTTCTGCCCATCTCAGATGTAAAAAAAAAGTTTTTTTTCCTTGGCTGTTGAACATTCTGTACCTTCACATCGACTAAGCCATAAGCCTCTTAGCTGATAGAATGTGGACAACAGGCTCTTGTCTTGCTAGGTTGTGTTTAGATAAGAGATGCTAGCTCACATAGAATAGTATGAACATAGCTGGAGTAAAACTGGGCGTTCATTGCTCTTATGGCATACTGATTGGGACCCTTCTTACAGATAGGAAGAAACACTGTAAAGATGTGACTAAAACTGGAGATGATAGAAGTAAAATATTCACGAGAATAGAACACTTAGCAAATGGTTCAGCATTAAGTCAAGACAAGGATGTGTGATGTTTAACGGATAAGGAATGCTTGTGCTGACATTATTGATATCTTGTTGGGAATATGAATAGACATGTACATGTGTATGCAGATAATGTTGTCTTATTGGCTAACCTCTTAATGATTTGCAGTGAATTTTAGAAAGAATGTATGATGCAACAAGAAACCTGGGTCTGAACATGTGCAAATGCTGGTAAAAAGGTAGTGGATCCTATGAGGCCTGCTACAACAAATAAATGAGGATCAAATAATAAAAATAATAAAACAAATATGTGAAAGAACAGTGAATGTAGTTCTATTTTGCTTTTCTTATCCCATGCCTTTAATTTGTTTAGCTTACTGTTTCTAACTTCCTTCTTGCATTTTGCATAACATTTCTTAGCCAAAAGGGAATTGTGTGATGGGGATGTATGGAAGAACATATGTAACTGAATACAATTGAGCATTTGATTAATCAGCAAAAATCTGGCCTGTATATCTAGTACAATGAGACGGTAGATGGGAAAATGAATTGTACTCGTTGCAGGTCAGGTCAACAGCTGTGGAGAACTTGTAATCTACTGCTGGATAGACTGGATTAAAATCCCTGTTTTTCCACAGAACGTACCATGTCTAATCCTGGCTACCTCGCAGGATTATTCTGAGAATGAAAGGCAAGGAGACACCTTGCCCTGAGCTCCATAGAGATAAACATGTAATTAATGACCCATGACAGTTGTCAGCAAATAGAAAAATCGATGAGTTTGATTTTCTCCTGAGTTTTCTCCTGGAAGAGAAATGTTCACAAAGATTTAGACTGTGAGATTTCTGTCTGCAGAGAAGTTCTTATTATGTGAGACAGGGAAGGTTCAAAAGTGGTATTTCCCTCTTTGAAATCTGAAGTGAACACAGTCTTTACTCTGCAATCCTTGTGAACCAGCTAAATGTAGTTGATATTTGTGTGTTGTTTTGTGTTGACCTCACATGCCATTCTTCATTAAAAGAAATATCAAAGAGGTGACCTTAAATTGTTGTGTCACATATTGCATACAATAAGACCCAGAGGTAAAAAAGCAATGAAAAATGCAGCAGTTAATAAACAATTATTTGAGAAACTTGCAAAAAGATAAATAGGGAATCAAGGTAGGGGGCTGGACAAATAGCTTGGGTTTTAATTTTTAATTTGAATGGAAAACAGTCCATTAGGTGGGTGTGGGTATGGGTCTATCTAAGCTAATCTTATGCACTTCATGATCATTCACAGCCTCTGGTCTGTGCCTTTCTGATGCAGTTCTGCTTTTGTCTTGAAGATCTGCAGGCACCCGCAACTCCTGATTAGTTGGATTACAGACAGTTAGAAGAATGAGGACCTTTTAGTGAGAGTTTTCTTCTCTCCCAGGACAACGAGCTTTTAAACGCCAGTTATGCTTTGTTGTACGGCATCCAGAGTCGCCTGTGGTGAGATGGGTGGCTATATAAATTGGTTTAATGAATAAATAATAAATAAATTATTTGCCCCACTATCCAATCAGGATCACAGATTTCTTGTCCCTTAGAACAAAGCTAAGCCCCAGCTGATCCCATGTTGCAACATATTCATTTGTCCCTTGTCTTTCCTCCGCCTCTTCCTCCTCCTCCTCCTTAACATAAAATTAGTTATTATGAAATAATTGTCTGTAATAGCAATGCTGTTTTACACCTTGAATTATACAGGCAGCCATAAGTATTTTGTCTTTTGCATTGATTAGCTGTTTGTTAGTGGTGTCTCCATTGTAATGGACACCTGTTATTTAATACTGAAATAACTCAGCTTTTCATGGCAGGATTAGTGTAAGCATGCTAAATCGATTATTTAGGGACAGAAAAATTGGCTGGCCTGAGTGGCATTAAATCAAATTAATCGCCAAAATGTAAATGTGTCTGAAGATCTACTTTGAAGAAAACAAATTACTCTGCCATGTTTCCTCTTATGGGGTTGCATCATGATTTACAGCTGAACGAGAGCTGGGATGTAAAATTCCAAGTCCAATTAAATGTCCTGCCTTTCCCCTTATGGCAGTTGTTTGGACTGAAGCCAACAATGACAAGGAGCAAATAAGCACAGAACTGCCCCTTCTTAAATGGAGAAATAGAGAGAGCCGCCCACCACTCCTCTCCCTGGTTAGGCATGTCTAGAGAATGTGATGTCTGCAACTGAAGGTGGGGATGGAGAAATGGGACTGGAAGGAACTCAGAAATAAAGCATTAATGGAAAAGGCAAAGACTGGGAGGCAAATGGTGGCAGTGACGCCTGGCTAGTGACTAGAGGGGAACAGGAACACCTCTGTGCCTCTGAGCATTCCAAAACACCTCTCTGAACACCTCTACTACTTATCTCGGTTTGTGTGTATGTGTGTGTGTGCGCCTTCAAGTCAGTGTTGACTCCTGGCAACTACCTGGACAAATCCCTGCAGTTTTCTTGGCAAGATTTTGGAAGTAGTTTGGCACTGTCTCCTTCCTAGAGCTGAGAGAGAGTGACTGGCCCAAGGTTGCCCAGCTGGCTTCATGCCTAAGGCAGGACTAGAACTCAGAGTCTCCTGGTTTCTAGCCTGGTGTCTTAGCCACTACACCAAACTCTCTCTCTCTCTCATCTTGTTAGCTGTACTCATAAAAAAGTAGTATTTTCCCCCTTGTTCTCACCATCCATTACTATGTCACTTTAGCTTCCAAGGTAATAATGATCCGAATAAGGCGTGGGGGGAGAATACTATTTTTATATGAGTACAGCTAATGATACTTAAGTCTGCTTCATTCCTGGACTGGGAACAAGGAGGGGAATTGCTGTTCTTCTAGCATAGCAGCCATGCTACAATGAAGTTAGGTGAAAGGAGGCCAGCATCTGTGCTACAGCAGGTGGCAACACCCAGCTGACCTTGGTGGATCTCCAGGAACTAACCTAGGTCAGATCAGAGTAGTACTTGGAGGGGAGACTAACAAGAAAACCCAGAACTATAAACTAGAATGTTGAAGAAACATCTTGGAAGAATAATAGCAAACTAATTGTGTGTTGTTGCCTATAAACTAGTGTTTCTCAACCTTGGCAACTTTAAGATGTGTGGACTTCAACTCCCAGAATTCCCCAGCCATCATGCCTAGAAAATCAGTAGGAATTAGGCTGAACTCCGGGGAGATTTTATTCTCATTTGTATTAGGTTTGGCCAACATATCTGAGTGCAAGAGACCCCTTGTTCTTTAAATGGAATGCCAGGGGCCAAATTCCAAACTGGCAGGATCAGGACGAAAAAGTGGAAAACAACAGGATAAAATTGAACACTGAAATGTTTCAATGAATGTGATTACTCTCCGTGTATTTAATCATTTTTCTCTCCTACTGTGTTAAAATGTTCAATTTGGTGTCAACTTTGGAAGAGGACTTTTGGAGGAGCACCACGTGCTTTTAGCTCTGGAGCTTTGGAGGATACTTCCCTCATCTGCAACTACATTTATCTCTAAATCTGTGCTATCAAAAGAACCAATGCAAAACAATTTTAGTTATGAAGATCAATATTTAAGACATGTTCATGTGTGATTTGAATTCTGCAATTATTACAATTGTCTACTTCAAAATCTGTTTATTTATTCTGATTTTGATCTTGAACCGTGGATCTCAGGCTATATTTGTTGGATTCTGCAATATGGTGGCCTGTTTCCTATAGTAATGTCAAATATATGTCCTAATGTTCGTTGTTTTAAAAGATGATTAGGGAAGGGACCTACCAGTTGCTCTTAGCCACGAAAATGAAATGGAATCTGCTTCAGAGAAGCATGCTACTGCTGGGATAGGGGTCAGCATTAAAGCAAGTCTGTGGCTTATGTGGAATTTCCAGAAGCATCTGGTTGGCCATTCTTGGAAAAAGGATACTGGGGGTCTCAACCTTGAGCCTACAAATGTTGCTAATCTCATAGTCCCAGAATTTCTGGCTGTAGACATGCTGACTAGGCATGCTGGGATATATACATGCATGTATGTGTTATATAAACCTGCACTCATTCAAAGGAACAGAAAACGTGATCGGATTTGGCAATGGTGGAATGCATTTAAAGACATATGTGACTCAGCAGTATTTTTCATAACATCCTACTGTTTTGTGTAGTAATCAGATTTCTGTAAACCCAGCACACCCTCTTCCCTCTTTCTTCTCCCTTTTCAGGTGGGAACCCAGGCCTTTAGCCACAGTGGTTCTTCTGCTAGACCTTGGACTAGAGTGGACCCTTTGTGGATGTTTGTTTTGGTGGTGTTGACATTTTTTTCTGGGTATTTGTTGATATGATCCCTGCATTATTCTATTTTAACTGTTTCATGTTGTATGCCGCCAGAGTTGGGTGACCTATTAAATCGACCTACCTACCTACCTACCTACCTACCTACCTACCTCAAGGCTATATTCTAATACCTTGCTGAGCATTTCTTGGCCACTAGATGTCTTTGTTCTGGAGAGATTCATTTTGGGTGTGGTTACAAGAGGGGCCAAGTTGGGACATGAGCTGTGTGGATACTTATTTTCTTTCATAGTTTGAAGCTAATTACTCTAATAAGCACCTACCCCAGAAACAAGCTGATTAAGCCCAGTTATTGTCAATCTGACAGAAGCATATGTGCTCAGAACTGTTGAGATGTAGAAACGTGATTCCCCCAAATAAAAACCATCTAGCAACCCCCCCAAAATAGGTGATAAAATGACTCCCCTTTCTCTATCACGACCTCAGGGGACTACTATTGCTCCCTACATATTTTGTGACATCTTGCCCAGATCCCTTGTAAGCTTCCATCCTGCTTGGAGTTAGAATTATAGAACTGATGGAACAGCCTCATCTTCACAACTCCCCGACTTGGCAACTGTTACAGAAAGAAGCAGAAAAGGTTTCTGTGAAGGAGACAGTCATTTAAAGAAAACAATTCATTTAAATAAGTTTTGTGTGGTTTTATTTGGGATTGCATCTAAATCCCACCAACAACAGGGAAAACTTCAAGTGCAGGATAATGAAATAAAATTGCGAGAAGTCTGAACAAATTCTTCACTGTTCTTGTGGGGTTTACTGTATATGTATCCACCAAATGCTCTGTTTTGTCTGTATCGTGCAGATGAGTGGCTAATACTTTTACAGAATTGTATTCAAATTTCTGAGGTAGTGCACCTGTGAGGAATACACACACACAAACACACAAATACACATGTAGAAGAAAATTTAAGGCAAGAATATGCTATAGGATGGCTGGATTTCCTGCAGAAATCTCAGCTTATGAAAGTGAACTCCAGAATGAAATTCCTCTGGGGAGTTCAAGCCTTTGTAACTTTCCTGCATGCCAGTGATTTTTTATTTTTATGTTTTTATTTAATGCATGCTAGTGTCAGCTGGGAAAGGGAAGAAGAAATATTACTGAGAAATCTGTTTTTACGTTGGTTCACTAATCAAATAGACTTTTTTCTAGTAGTCATGAGCTTTTTAATTAAATTGAGTATGGTTACATGATATCAAAACTGCCTAACCACCATTTTACATGAATAGAGTGTAAGATAGTACTTCTTTACAAAACAAAAGCATACTTCACCCAAATCCAGCTTAAATTGGGCTGAACCAAATCTTACAGTTCATTTTGTCACATTCTTTCCCATCACAGTGAGATATGTTGGTTATATGTAGATTGCAATATTCATTTCTAAATTTGCATTAAATGTAACACACCTGCTTTCTATTCAGATTATCTCAGTCCGTTTTTTGTGCTCATTTTGAGTAACATGCTAATGACTTCCTATATTATATTATAGTCTTATTATATTTTTTAGTCACAAGATGACAGCTGACATATTTCTATTTGCATGAAACTACTGGCCTGTTACTATTCTGTTCATTTTTAAGAAGAGAGTAAAGTTCTCTAACTTTCTGACTATGAGGCTCCTTCACACCTTCCAGGATAAACCCTAGAAATGGAGATGAGATTTGGTACACAGATGATTAGAAAAGTGCAGATTAAAAATGACTCATTTGCACCTTTCCCATTCAAAAGACATATGGTGTGTTCCAAAATCATTAAGAAAGTTATGCCCCACCTATGAAACTGAAATTTGGCAAACACCTTGTAGTCATTTCCAGTCCTCCAAAGAGTGAGTCGTGATCATGGGAGATAAGTCCAACATATCTGGACAGGGGTGTCTGCAGGTGCCAAAAAAGTCAAGAGAGTGGTTAAGACTGTATGATTGAAGCCCTGCTCCCTTTTTGCGTCCATCAATATGCAAGGGGCTTCAATTGCATAGTTGTGGATGCCATCTTGACTTTTTCTGAAACTCCTCCTCCCCGCCCCATGGATGCCCTTGTATCTGGAGGATGTTAAGCTGAGAAAGATCGATTCCATCCAGGCATCCTGGCAGTTAGTAAAGGCTAAAATGGGGAAGCTTTGATATTTTTCCTCAAAATGTAAGACTGAAAAATGTATCAGCGAATGAATAAGACATTCTTACACTAGACAGAAACAGTAAAAATTGAGAAATACATCCACCTGAAAATAGGGTTTTTTCTTATACCTAACATTCAAAATTCAAAGCATGAAATTTGCCATACTCACAGACCATGCATCTGATTGCAAAATGGTCTTTATTCACACCCTTATTGTCATAAGGCCTTGCTGCTAATCTCTTTGCATAATTGCTACCAATATTTCTCAGTATCATTTAAGATATACAGTGCTTGAGTGGTTAAAAGTACCACAGGTTACAATTTGCAGCTTGGAATATATTGTGGAAAGCAGTGATGGGGTGGGGAAGACTTAGCAGAAGGAATGTGCAAACACAGGTGTGTAACGTCCTTACAAAGGCAGTGCATTTGGCAGCATTCAGGATTCAAATCTGGTTTGAGTTAAATATGCCTGTTGCAAAAGATAGAGAGAGAAGAGGCAAAAAGGAAAGGGGAAAAAAAAAAAGGAAAAAGAAGTTCATTCTGTTTTGCTTGCAACTGAAAGAGTAGGGAGATGTTTATTGCTTTTATGGTGTGGTTTTCTGTGGAAGAACACAAATCGCTCAGGGAGCTGAGAGATGTCTGCCATATATTGAAATAAAAAATGGATTTTGGGCCACTGGTTCCCATCTTTATTTCTGTTATGAATGTCCTTTGCTCTTATCTTAAGGTAGTAATGGTCATATTGCAGAGATCTCCTCCTAGAGATGTGCAGAAATCTCTGGGGAGAGTTCATGAAGTTGATCTAAAGTTTCCTAAGCTCCATTGGCCAAATTTTAATTTCAATAATCAGCCTAAAGTTTCTGAACAGCTCCTGAGTTTTCCTATTTGCAGGCCGGGAACTCTTGAAGGTGGGGAGGGGGTGTGGAGGGAAGAGAAGAACTCTGAGCTTCATTACTGGGTTTACTGCTTCTCTCCACCATCAGTTCTTTTATGTAGGGACTTTTGGACAGTGGTGATTTCCATGCCTTGCTGGATACTACTAAATACCATGTATTTCAAAGCTGTGTTGTTACTACCATTTTTATTTCTGGGATGCTGCTAGGGGAAGGTGGACACAACTTACATTAGTAGGGGAGTTTTATCTTAGCACTGTGAAACGGATTAAGAATGAATTACTAGTTTGGATTCTCTAATAAGTGGTTTGTAAAATTAACTAGGAAAAGAGAAGGGGGGGGAAATGCGGTACCCCAATGTTACTTCATTCTATTTTGTTAAGTCAGAAACAACGGATTTTTAAAAATTGACTTTAATGATAAAGGTACGTCATAGAACAAGCAAACATCTGGAGTCTACAACTCCAATGATTTGGATCACTAAAATATGTGGCATTTTAGCACCTACTGTTTCTCTTATAATTACACAATATGTGGGTTGTGCAGAAACACCACCACTGCCATTGTAGCGTTTTATAACAAAAACACCAATTTACACACTTTAAATAATATTTCATTAAATTGCCCATCATCTCGAAGCTGTCTCTTTTGTCCTCTCCACATACAGTTAGATCATAAACATACAGTAACAGAGAATGTACACATGTGTTCCATTTTTAACTCTCTTTATAAGAATGGATCAGCATTTCTCTGTTCAAAGCTCATGGTCTGTTTGATTTAATTTATCAGTCCATACTTTGGCTGCTTGCTTTAGCCATATATTGAGTTTTGCAATTTACAGGCCAGTTTTTCTTTCCCTGGCTCTTCATGACCTGGTGGATCTGGTTCTGATTGTATTGTCAGCAGCCTCTTCTGAATCTGAAGCTATTTCAGATTCATTAGCCTAATTTCTTAGTGTGCAATGTCATTATTATCGCTGTTGTTGTTTGTTGCTTCCCATTGTGAGCTTCCTGGGTAAATCCACATCCTACTGGTAAAACTAGACAGGTTTGCACTAATAGCTAACTATTGCAACTGATTTGGGGTTTTCCTTCCTTCTTCATTAAAATGAGCAACAATCCATGTTTCCAGTTTTTAGGTCCAAAACCCTGCAGCCTTTTGTTCCTCTTTAATAGCCCAGCATTCTTTCTAATTGGGTTCTGAAACTTAATGTATTCCTTTTTTCTTTAGGAATATATGCATAGGTTTTATATATTTAGGAGTAACAAATTGAATTTGTACCCATTCCATAACTCATATGGGATTTTATCTGCATCTTTAAGTGCTTCTCCCCAGAATCATTTGGTAACCTTGCATCAAGCAGAACACTTTTTATCATCCTTAGCCAGTTTTGATTCTTTTTTTCTGCAACTCTGTTTTGCTGCTGTAC